AATCAGTTTCCCACACCAGTTCATTCCCTCTGGAGCACTGGTTCTAACCCTAGCTGTAGCCTGGAAGCACATAGAGGAGCATTAAAGAATACCCCTCTCACCAGGCGCGGTGGCTCACACCTATAATCCCAGCACTTTGGGAGGCTGAGGCGGGTGGATCACTAGGTCAAGAGATCGAGACCATCCTGGTCAACATGGTGAAACCCCGTCTCTACTAAAAATACAAAAATTAGCTGGGCATGGTGGCGCGTGCCTGTAGTCCCAGCTACTCGGGAGGCTGAGGCAGGAGAATTGCCTGAACCCACAAGGCGGAGGTTGTGGTGAGCCAAGATCGTGCCATTACACTCCAGCCTGGGTAACAACAGTGAAACTCCATCTCAAAAAAAAAAAAAAAAAAAAGAATACCTCTCCCAAGGTTCTGCTCCCAGCCCAGACCAACCAGAGCAGAACCTTTGGGGGGATGCAGGGCCGTGCACTTGAATGTGTGCCAGGATTTTGCAGTTATTGACCTCATCCCTGCCCTGAGAGCTGGGGGTCTTCTTTCCCCTGGGGACCATGTCTCCCCTCCCTTCCAGCTGGACCCAGTGCAGCCAGGGGAGACTGTCCTGGCATGACCTTGAACTTGATGCTTACACCCTCTCCACTTTGATTTTCTGGTCTGGACAATGGGTTCATTGACAGCTTTGGCTGGCTCTCCTGGGTCCCTCTACAGATTCACCCTCTGCAGCTGGGCCCTAAGCCTGAGAGGGAGGCTCAGCAGGTCCAGCCTTGGACAGCAGTACCAGGCACTGTCACCTCAGCAGATCCCCAAAGCAGGCTGTGTGGTGGCAGCAGCATCAACTCCATTTCACAGGGGAGCAAACTGAGGTCAGGGCAAGGGCTACACTCAGGGCATAGAGCTGGTAACAGGAGTCAGGCTTCATCCCAGCCACACTGGACTCCGAGTCCAGTGCTCTTTTCCCATCACCAAGTTCCTTCCCCCAAGGAACAACAAATTCAAGGGCCTGTCCCCTTCACTCTGTTTCCCTCACATGGACTCTGTTCCTTGTTGTCCTGTCCACTCCTGTCACCTTCAGGAGCCAGGCATGTGAGCGTTCAGAGCAGGGTGGCCAGAGAACAACAGGGATCCGAGCAGTTGGGGCGTCTGGGTTCAGGCCTGCACCCCCTCCCAGCCCAGTCTGCATCTTCGAGTCTATAAATTCCATTATTCATTAGGTGACTTCGGGAGTTTGCCAGGACAATGAATACTTTATTCACCTCCAGACACTGTCCCCAGCGGGTTCTCAGAACAATCTTGTTCCTCAGCCAAGGAGCAGAGGCCATAGCCTCTGCCCTCCCTGGACACCCACACCCTACCACCTGTACCTCTCCTCCTCCAGTACCTCCTCCCCCAGCAGGACCCCTGGCTTTGGTAGGGCTGCAATCTCCGGTCCCGGCATGACCTTGAACTTGATGCTTCCACCCTCTTCACTTTGATTTCCTCATCTGGACACTGGGTTCATTGAAAGCTTTGGCCAGCTCTAGTGGGTCCCTCCACAGCTTCACGCTAAGCAGCTGGGCCCCGGGCTCTGCCTGGAACTCTCCCTGGTGCTGAATGTAGCAAGAGGATGCTGGCCTGGGACAAGAGGTCTCCAGCCAGGGAGGGCAGGGACTATGCTGCTCTTGAAAGGAGCAAGCTCCAGTCTCAGGGAGGGAAGGAGCTGGCCTCTGCACATCGCAGTTCCCACCTCTCTCCCCTTGTCTCCTTGCCACTTGGGGAAGCCCCCAGAATCACAGGTTTCAGCGAGTCACTTCTCCTTAGCCCCCTGAACCAATGATTAGTCAGCGAGGACCATGGAGAACCCCTCTGGGAGGACCTGCGGCCCAGGCATCTCCCAGTGGGCACCCCAGGGAGTGCAGTGTGATGGCAGCAGCACCTTCCCCAGATGGGGGAGCGACAGACATAATTCACACCCTGTGATCATGCCATCTGCTCCCCTGTGACACACACAGGAGAGGACGGGGCTGCAATGCTGAAGGGCGGGTGGGTGAGCGGGCAGTTGTTCATTCACTAATTCTTTCCTTCATTCATTGGACAGATGTTCATCCAGCCCCAGCCACCTTAGCCCATCCTAGTCCTGTGCCAGGCATGGGAGATCGAGGGAACTCAGACCCAGACCTGCCCTTCAGAGCTAAGAGAGGCCCTCTCACACTTCTGACCTTTTTCCCACCCTCCTCCTGACCTCTGGAATTCCCTTGACTTGTTTTTAAAAAAAAAAGCCACCATGGGCTGGGCATGGTGGCTCATTCCTGTAATTCCAGCACTTTGGAAGGCCGAGGCAGGCAGATCACTTGAGGTCAGGAGTTTGAGAGCCATCTGGCCAACATGATGCCTTGTCGCTATAAAAAATACAAAAATTAGCTGGGCGTGATGGCATGTGCCTGTAGTCCCAGCTACTTGGGAGGCTGAGGCAGGAGAATCGCTTGAACCTGGGAGGCAGAGGTTCCAGTGAGCCAAGATCATGCCATTGCACTCCAGCCTGGGCAACAGAGCAAGACTCCACCTCAAAAAAACCCACGTGTATATATATATATACACACACACACGTGTATATATACACACACACACACACACACACATACACATACACATATATATCTCCACCTGGACAGCAAACTGCCAGCCTCTCAGCAGGCTCTAGTCCACCCTCCCTTGGCCCAGGAGTTCTGATTTAGAATTGATGGACCTGGACCGGCGCAGCCTGGACACTTAGTAAACATGGAACAACTGAGCTGCCACTGCGGCTCTCTCTCTCAATCAATACTCAAAGCTGTAATTATTATTAATTTATATTCCTTGGCGGGGGATGTTTATGCTAATAGGAAACTCCCAAGAGTTTCAGGGAAGTGCTGCCTGGCACCTTTCACGTTGTCTCTTCATCCTCACCGCCGCCTGGGATGTGACATTGCCACCTTAACTTCACAGGTGGGGAAATTGAGGCCAGGACAGGTTAAGGGACATGACTGCAGTCCCACGGTGAGGAGATGGTGGATGCAGAAGCCCCAATCTGCCTGGCTCTTGGTACTGGGTTCTTTCTCCCTCATGTCTCTGCTACATCAAAAACACTGGGGGAGCTCAAGGCATTCAGCTCTAGTGGTGGAAGGTCGGACGATGGAACGAATGGGCAAGGAGAGCTCTGGAGTGGGGTGGACACCTTTCTGGGGCCTCTCTCACCTCCAGCCCCAGGTCCTAGTGAGCAGCCAGCTAGCCCAGAGAGGCTTGGGGAGACAGACAGAGAGTTGGGGTCCCTCCTGGCTCCTCTGCAGGTTTCAGATGTTTCTAGGAGGTCCCTCCAGAACAGTGCCCAGGAAGTGCTTGGCCCAGGCTGGCCCAACCCAGCCTGGCTGGGGCTAGCATCTCTCACTCAGCCCCCTCTCCCCAGACCCTGAGACAAGGCTGTGATTAATCAGTAACAAAAACAGAAACAAGCAGAAAAGTGTAATCAGCTTGGGAAGGGCAGGGCAGGGCTGGGCAGGGCTGTGCAATCAGCGTTCCTGCTGGGACCTGTAGCTGATTGGGTCAAAGAGGGCAGGGAGGTGGCCCCGATGGGGGAGTGGGGAGCCCCCAGAGCTGGGGCCACAGTCAGGCCAGAAGGCCAGCCCCTCCCATGCACATCTGTACACACATGCCCACACCACTCCTAGCCTGCACACTTCCCCTGACCTGCCAGCATACAACCTTGGCACACACAGGTGGCCACACACTCCTGATATTTGTCCATCTGCATATGGAGTCACAGACACATCTGCATGTGCCCAGTGGCACATACACGCCCCAAGGAAAGCAGACATATGCAGGCTGCTCCTTCAAACGCCTGCCCCCACCGCCAAGCTCACAGGTGCCTGGGGGCCTGGGGAAGCCCTGCTCACACAGTAGGTCTGACCTGCAGCCATGTGAACTGGCAGACCCTCACACTAGACCCACAGGCACCCGGCCATGTCTCTGTCCCACACTGCCCTGGGGGCCATGAGACACTTTGGCTCTCCCTCTGCAAGCTGAAAGGTAGGGGCTTGGGAAGGGTCCAGGACTGGGGCCCCATTGTGGGGAGTAAGGTCACCTGCAGGGTATCAGCCATAGCACAGGAAGCCTACCCCAAACCTGTACCCAGCTCCTACCTGCTGCCCCAGCCCTGTGACCTTGGTCAATGTCCTCTCTCGGCCTCAGTTTCCCCACCTTGGAGCCTCTGGCACTGAAAATGTGATTCTTCTTGAGGACCCAGGTGCTTGGGGCCGGTCTCATCTCTCTGGGTCTCCTGCCTTAGTTCTCGGCTCTCCGCTCCTGGTGCGGGGATGACGGGGAGGTGAGCCAAGGGGCAGGAAGGAGGACCCCCGCAACCCACACCCTCTCTGGTCCTGGCGGCTGCAGACTTAGGGTGAGGGGAGCCAGTCATCAGAGGGGAGCCGTAGGGGTAAAGGGGAATGGGGCCAAAGGGGAGAAGGAACCCCAGGCAGGTTTGGGGCGGCCGCTCAGGGGCCGGCGGCGGGAAGGGGCGGGCTGGGGGTGGGGAGCGCGAAGGGGGCGGGCGGGCGGCTGGCGGGGGAGGCGGGGAGCGCAGCCAGAGCAGCACAGAGCTAGCGAGCGAGCGAGCGGAGAGGCGGCGAGAACCTGAGCGCCGGGCCGGTGGCGGCCGCGCCGGCGAGCGGACGAGCGGGCGGAGAGCAGCGCGGAGCGCGCGGGGCACCGAGGAGCGGGCGCGGCGGGCACCGCGCGCGGCAGCCGGAGCTCTCCGGAAGGCCGGAGCGGCGCCGCCCCCGCCGCCCCTGCGGGGCCCCGGCTGGGAGTCGGACGAGGGAGGGGGCGGCATGGCCCGGCGGCCCGGGGCGCGGGGGCGCTAGGTCCCCGGAGGGGCGCCCCGCGCCTTGCCGCCGCCGCCGCCACCCTCCGCAGCCGCGCGCCCCGCCCGCTCCAGCCGCCCCCGGGGCCGCCGCCGGCCCATGAGCCCCGGCATCAAAGTTTGCGGCGGGCGGGCGGGCGCGGAGCCTCCAAGATGCCGTTCCACCCGGTGACGGCGGCGTTGATGTACCGGGGCATCTACACCGTGCCCAACCTGCTGTCGGAGCAGCGTCCGGTGGACATCCCGGAGGACGAGCTGGAGGGTGAGTGTCCTCCCGGACCCCCGCCCGCCGGCCCTCCTACCTGTGAGCCCAGGTGAAGCGCGGGCCAGGGGCGCGGGGGCGGGGGCGGTCCGCAGGTGCCGGCTGTTAGGTGGTCGCCCCAGCGAGTAGCTGCGCGCCGCGGCAGGACCGGTCCGCACCCGAGGCGCCGCGGTGGGGGGTCGCCCGGGCGGAGGGCGGCCCAGCCCCTGCCCGCGTGGCCCCCCGCGCTGCGGAAACTTGCCGGGCCTCGCAGCGGGGTCACGGGGCCGCGCAGTCAGCGGTGACTGTGCGGCAACGCGGCGGACTGGGGCGGGGGTCGGCGCTGAGCCCAGCACCAGCCCGGCCGGAGCACCCGCATCCTGATCCCCTCCGCGGCGCAAGCCGCGGCTCTCTGCTTGCATTGACATTCCGCTCGTGTCGCTTTAAAAATTCCAAATGCTCGGGTAGCAGAAGAAGGGGAGAGGGCGACTGCCCTGCTTCTGCCCGTTGCGGGGCCGGCCCCGTCTCCACCTGCGGCCGTAGCCCCTTCCCTGCAGCCCTGCGGGGACCCCCAGCCCTGCGCGCCGGGAAGGTAGTCCGGAAGGCGGTGGCGACAACAAGTGGCCAGATTGGGCGGCTCAGTCGCGATAGCCAAGCCTAGAAAGGAAAGGCAGAGAGGCCAGGACCCAAACCTGCCCCCACTCCGTTCCCCTTGACTCTCTGACACGCAGGGGGACGGCAGGCCGCTGGCTGGGCGAGGTCAGAGCAGAGGGCAGAGGCTGGGATCCGGGACAGTGTGTCTTGGGGAGCAGGGAGACACCTGGGGCCTGCCCAACTCCTTCCCTGCTGAGCTGGGGGAGGTGCTCAGGTTTCCCCTCCCCCCAGACCTCCTGGAACCCCCATATGGAGTGGTGTGGGGGATCTGGGCTGCCGAGGGTCTCCATCTCCTGGGGTCTGCTTCTATGCTGTTGAGCAAGGGGCTGAGCTCACCCGGAGGATGGGTCTCTCGGAGTACCTTGGGTCCAGGGGGTCTCTGAGACCTGGAGGCTCATTAGGGCCTAGGGGGTGCAGCGGAGACCAGCACAGTCAGGGAGGATGGTGGGAACCTGGAGAAGCCATGGAGAGAGGTCCTCCCTCAACCCCAGGCCCAGGTGAGGGCAGATCTTTGGGGAGTCAGGCTGGGTTGGGGGAAGATCCAGAGAGGGAAGACAGCCTCTGCCATGCTCACTGCACCAGAGGCATGAACCACCGGCTCTTCAACTGCCCCTGCAAACCCTAGTGGGGAGAGCCATGGAGACAGGGTCTGGGGTCTGATGCAGACAGGACAGATGGGACCCCCTGACATGACCTCACCATTCACCCCTAAAGCCCAGGGCCAGAGCCTCCTCCAGAGCCTGTGGAGAGCAGGGGTACAATGGGGGGGCGAGAGAGCAGGAGATGGAGCACAGGCCTTCTCCTCCTGACCTTTGTCCCTCCGGCCCTGGGCCACCTCAAACCTCCTGCGGATTTTTCCTTCCAGAGTCCCTTGCTCATCCCTTCCTCCTGGCCATCTGGGCAGGAGTCACCATGTTCCCCAGAACCCAAGCAGCTTCCACTTCACTCCCTCCCCCTGCTCCTGGCACCCCTACTAAGACCCCGGCACCAGGGCTTGCTGGGTCCCTCCTCTCCTGATCCCCAGTCCTGGAGTGCACGCCCTGAGGAAGGGGAGAGGCTGAGAGGCTGGCTGCAGGGGCAAGGAGCCACAGGGTGGGCAGTTCAGGGGCAAGGCCGCAGGCTTCCCAACCAACGGCAGGGCATGCTGGCAGGAGCCCAGCAGCGTTAGTCACCAGCTACACCAAGTGCCCTCCCAGCTTGTCTCCTGTCCCCTTCTCCTGGGCCCTGGGGAGCTGAGGGGCCCTGACTCGGGGCATCTGAAGGGCAGGGCCCTCCCTGGGATGGGCAGGTGGGGTCATGGAGCAGGCAGATGCCTGGGTGGTCCCAGCGCATCTCTGGGCCAGTGGGCAGCTACAGATGAAGGCAAGAAGTTTTCCATGACCAGCCCCCTTCTTGGCTGCAGGTGCCCTGAAAGCCCTCTGCAGGGCCCAGGTCCCTTTCAGCAGTCCTTGAATGCCAGGGCTGGCCATTCCTGGCATGGATCCCCCTCTGCCCTCTCTGCCTCCCCAGGGCCCCATGAGTGCTCCTGCCCCAGGGCAGTCTGGGCGAGACCTGGGCCCTTTGCTGGGAGGACGCCATCAGCAGAGGAGCCACATGTGCCAGGAAGAGGGAGCTGGGCAGCCCAGGATGAAATGCTGCAGACAGTACGTGCCTGCCGCAGAAATCCAGGGGGCGGTCAGTCTGAGCGGAAAGGAGGACCAGACAGGGAGGTGGGAAGCGCAGAGTTAAGATGAGGGCTTCCCAGCCAGGTGGTGCTGGGTTTGAGTCTCTGCACCTTCAGCTCATGGAGTGACCTTGGGCAATCGTGCATCTCTCTGAGCCTTGGTTTCCCCACTTGAAAAAGGGGGGCTGGCCTTGTGCTCCCCAGGGCTGGTGGTGACGAAGGTTGCAGTGGAAGTACCTAGCGCAGGGGGAGCTCAGGGACCCAGATGCAACCTCAGGGGAGCACCTGGAGGGGTAAGAGCCTGGAGTGTGCAGGAGGCTGGGCCAGAAGGGCAGGCTGGCCAGGAGAGCTGGGTGGAAAAAGCCTTGAAGGTCTGGAAAAGGTGTCTGGGGACCTGTGGCCCCGGGGAGACATGGAGGGCAGGTGGCAGGGTAGGAACCATGGCTGCGAAGAGCTGGTCTGAGGCCCACCCAGGTCCTGGGAGGGAGAGGCACGGGCTCTCCTAGATCCCCTCCGTGTGCCCACCATGGCTGGGACGCACACCCTTTCTGACATACACATACAACAGAGTCCTCCAAGGACACTGAGGCTGGTCAGCAGACTCGAGCACCTGAGGGTGGGAATGAGGTATCTGCAATTCCTCGGCCTTTCTGGTGGAAGAGAGGAGGAAGGCGTCAGACCTTCAGGCAGACGGTCCCCAGAGCAGTCAGTGAGTGGAGTCTGCACTGAGTGGCCAAATATGGGCCTTTAGGGCAGGGGAGTCTGGGGAGCCCCCTTTCCTGCCTCTCTGTCCTGCAAGCCCAGCAGCCACCTCTGCACAGCCAAAAGCTCAGGGAGGTCAGAGTGGTGGGACACGGGGCCAGTGCCGCGGAGTGTGGTAGCTGCCTCCAATGGACACTGCCCCCTCCAGTGACCTCCAGCCAGTGCCCACCCTCTGGACTCTGGCTATCTGATGGAGTGCAGACGTCCCTTGGAGTCTGCTGGGGACTTAGGCTCTAATGAAGCTCCAAAGGTTGGGAAGGAGCCTGGGGGTTGTCAGCTGGAGGTGGCAGGTGGGGACAGGTCAGCCTGGAAACCTGGTAGCCCTGCCAGCCCATTCCCAGGCCAGCATCCCCATGCCAAGATGGGGCCCGGCAGGCTTCCCTTGGCCTCACAGGATGGGAAGGGAGCAAGGCTTTCGGGGAAATGCACCCAGCTGTGAGGCACTGATGGCACAACAGTGGCAGGAAATTGCGACATCCGCCCCACTCAGGGAACCCCCAGCAGAGGCTGGGCTTCAGTGATGGCACAGGAGTTGCTCCCCATTTCACAGATGAGACACCCGAGGCTTAGAGAGGGATGTGACTTGCCCAGGCCACTCGGCTGCTAAGCAGGAGAGCCAGAATCTAAGCCCAAGCCAGCAACCGCCAACAGGAAGGGCGGCCTGGTGTCCCCAGCTCACTGAGTCCTCCCTTTTCTTCCGGCTGTGCTATCTGGGACGTTCTGATTTATAGCATCCATTTCTGAGCCAGGCCAGGCCAAACACATGCTTGATTTTCTTGCTTAATCATCCCAGAAGCCCCATTGTACAGGTGAGCAAATACCTGCCCAAGGTTACCCCGCCAGGATATTGTAGGAGGGCTGGGACTTGACCTAGGTCTCTGCCACTTCAGGCTGCCTCCCTGGCCAGGAAGGTGGTGCCTGAATCCAGCCTCTGTGGACAGGTGGGGCTCCCAGCATGGGCAGAGGTACCAAGGTGAGACTTGTGGCATGTTGGGTATGCTAAGGAGGGGTGTTGAAGGGACACATGTGTGGGGACGTGGCAGTGTGTGGATTTACCCACTGGCCTGGGAAGGTGAGCCTTGCCTGAGAAACGGCTGCTGGGCCCACATGGCTGCCTCCGAGCCCCTCACCTTCCCGTGCATCCCAGTATTCACCTGCCTTCCTCTGGCTTCCCTCAGGCACGGCACCGGGGTGTTTTCTGAGCCTCCCACAAAGGGGCTCAGGGGCTCCAGCAAAGCAGCCTTGGGCTCTAGGAGCCCCCCAAAGGGTAGGAAGGATGGCCTGGAGCTCAGCTCATGGCAGGCAGGGGAGGAGGTGGCTCCCACTGTGGCCCCTACTGTGAGTCCCGGACTTTCCCATCCCACCCTGCAGGCTGGGTCTTCAAGCAGGACCCTGCAGAGGCGGAAACGGAGGAGGGTTCCTGACCCTGGTCCTCCTCCCCCACCAGTCCCTGGCCTCCACCCGTCTTCAGCTTGGTGTCCCTCTTCCATGAGTGTCCTGCAGGCTGGTGGGGATGGCATCCTTGGGGGCTGGAGAAGGGGTCGAGCAGCCTCCTTGGCCTCCCCATCTGCTTCTTGGCTGCTTGGGGAGTGGAAATGAATGCGTCCCCTAACCAGGATTGTTCGTGGGCTCTGAGTAGCGGCCTCACAGCAATCAGTATGTGAACTTCTGCTCAGAAGAGCCAGAGAACTCTGCGTGCTCCAGATGGGTGGGCTCCCCACATCAGTCATTCATTCATTTCATCATTCATTCAGCAAATGTTTATGCTTGAAGAGGCAGAGGCAGGCCCCGTTCCAGGCAACAGACGCAGCCATTAACCAGCCCAGCCCCTCCCTGCTGTCATGGCCCTCATAGTGCACAGTCCAGTGTGCCCCGTGCCAGGACAGGGCAAAAGGAGGGCCTGTGGGGGCCCAGAGGAGGGCCAGAGCTAGTGGGGGGGCAGGGAGGGCACCAGGGAGATGGTGCCATTCAAGCTGAGAACTGGGGTTGTGTCAGAGTTTGCCACAGCAAGGAGAAGAGCACGTCAGGCAAAATGGGCTGCATGTTCAAAGGACTGGAGGTGGAGCAGTCCTGGTGCCCACAGGACCGGGAGGGGCCCTAGCCTGGATGGAGTTCATGACACCTTGATGGGCAGAGCATGTGGTGGAGCCAGGAGGCCAACAGTACTGGCCGGAAACCTAAGCGTGCATGTGCAGATGCCTCCAGCTCTACCCAGAGGCTCCAGGGACTGGAATCCCCTCAGCAGCCTCCGTGGCTGTCAGGCCTCAGTTTATACATCTGGGGAGCACACCACCTCTCTGGTGGCCCAGGAAAACTCGAGGTGGGAATTGACCTGGAGTTCCCAGGGTCCAGGGTTTGCAGAACGCTGTGGCCCTGGCGAAGACCTCCAGGCCCGCTCCCTCCCAGCTGCTTCTCTCTTTTTTTTTTTTTTTTAGAAACGAACTCTCGCTCTTGTCCCCCAGGCTGGAGTGCAGGGTGCAATCTGAAACCTCTGCCTCCTGGGTTGAAGCCTGGGGGCCACTGGTTAGGAGACAAGATTCCCAGGTCCTAGCAGGGATGAGGGAAGGGAAAGTCCAAAGTCAGAAAGTCTGGGGACCCAGGCAACCTGGTGCATGTGTGAGCCTGTCTGAGCCTTAGGAGTTGGGTGTGGACACGGGTGGGATGAGCCTGATGAGGGTGGGGCCTCCACCCAAGCCACCTCACTGTGTGGCCTGGGACACGTGGCCATCCTCTCCGGGCTGTGGCTCCTCGTCTGTGGTGAGACCAACAGGCTGGGCTAGCTGCCCTGTCCCTCGGAGACTAGGGAATGACCCCAAAGCACAAGGTCCTATGAGCACTTTCAGGGTTTATAGACCCCTTAAGGCAATGTCTGGGCCAGCCCACGCAGCAGCAGCAACGCTGAGCCCCCGTGGACTCTGCTCCTGCCGCTGAGCCTCTCTGGATGTTTCTGGTCTGCAGCATGGGGCACCTCGCGTATGTCTACTTCTAAACACAGAAAAACACTCTCTTGCATGAGAAGCTAGATTCTGCCTGCTGAAAGCTAAAATCTCTCCCAGGGGAACAGCTTAGGGCAAGGCCAGGAGGCTGGTCAGCAAACAACAACGAGACCCCCAGGGAACTGGAGAGACAGCATCAAGCCCACCCCTCCCCCCCACCATCCACCACTCCCAAAGGCAAATGCCTTTTAGGGCCCTGCTGGGCCTGTGATGATTAAGGGACTGCAGCCCTTAGAAACAGACAAACAGAAGAGACAGAAGCACAGCCAAGGTGACAGGTGAGAACTCCATCAACTATGTGCCAGGGAGTCCCCACCATCATTCTGCCCCTTTCACCGTTGGTAAAACTGAGGCCAGCCCAAGGTCATAGGTTGGGTTGCTTGTTCCCCAGCTCTCAGCACAGTGTGTTGCTCACCACCGAGACACTGAGGTCATCAGTGTCTTCTGCTCTGTACTGTGTGGAGGGTGAACCCCCTCCACAATCTGATCTGGTCTGGACCTCAGCGCGGTGGGCGGGGGTCCTCTATCCCCCTCTGTCTTCCCCAAACCAGAGGAGGTCTGTGCTTCCTGTCAGCCCATTAGTCTGGAGCGTGCTGCCTCACGTGGCTGCCATTAGCAAGTGTTGGCCGGTGTTAAGGATCTGAGCCTGGGGGAGGAGGCGCAGCGGGATGGGGATGGTGGGGGAGAGGGGGATGGAAGGAGTCGGGGAGGGCGGGGAAGCCGTCCAGACTCTGAGCTGGGGAGCTCCAGCGTCCTCCCCTTCACATGGTCCCTACCACACGGGGTCGTTGTGAGCACACCAGGAGCTCCCGTGAAAGCCTGGCGCAATTGGATCTTGAGGGGTCACTGCTGGGGGGCCCTGAGCCCCCGCTTTGCTGCCCTGCTCAGCCTGCCCAGAGGTCCCAGAATACAGCACCTTTGTGCATCCTCCGCCGTGCGACGATCTTCTCTCACAAGATCTGCACGCTTTGGGTTGGGCTCTCAAAGCCATGCTCAGGCTGCAGTCTGTGATACTGGGGTAAAGTCCCTGCCTGCTCTGTTCTCTCCTCAGAGATCCGAGAGGCCTTCAAGGTGTTCGACCGTGATGGCAATGGCTTCATCTCCAAGCAGGAGCTGGGCACAGCCATGCGCTCACTGGGCTACATGCCCAACGAGGTAGAGCTGGAGGTCATCATCCAGCGGCTGGACATGGATGGTGAGAGCCCCCTGCCTCAGTTTCCCCACCTGGCACCTGCACCCTGGGAGTGGGGCAGGGGCTGGGCCCTGAGCCACTGAGGCTGCATCCAAATTGGGCCTCTCGCTCAACTGACTCCCACCCTCAAAGCCCAAGGCAGTTCTCAGCCTGGAGAATTGAGGCCAGAGAGGTTGTGGCAGTCCCAGCTGCATGCAGGGCTCAGAGATTGCTCCTCTCACTCTGTGTTGATAAGTTGTTTTTTCTTTTTTTTGGAGACAAAGTCCCGCTCTTGTCCCCCAGGCTGGAGTGCAAGGCATGATTTTGGCTCACTGCAACCTCCACCTCCTGGGTTCAAGCCATTCTCCTCCCTCAGCCTCCCGTGGAGCTGGGATTACAGGCAACTGCCACCATGCTGGCTAACTTTTGCTTTTTTTTTTTTTTTTTGGGACAGTCTCGCTCTGTCACCCAGGCTGGAGTGCAATGGCGCAATCAGCTCACTGCAACCTCCACCTCCTGGGTTCAAGCAATTCTCCTGCCTCAGCCTTCTGAGTAGCTGGGATTACAGGCGTGTGCCACCATGCCAAGCTAATTTTTGTATTTTTAGTAGAGACAGGGTTTCACTATGTTGGTCAGGCTGGTCTTGAACTCCTGACCTCATGATCCTCCTGCCTTGGCCTCCCAAGTGTGGGATTACAGGTGTGAGCCACTGCGCTCAGCTGAGAAGTTTTAAAGTACAGAAAAGTAAAGGGATGCAATAAATACTCCAGTTCCCACCACCTGAGAGAAAATTGCTACTTTGCTTGTGTTTGCCACCTGGCATTTATTAAGGAAAAGTTCATAGGAAGAAATGATAATGCCAAGCCCCCTGTGCCCTTTGTTTCCTATTCTCCATCCAGACACCAGGTGACAACCTGGGCAGGTTGTCTGCTCTGAGCTCCAGTTCCTGTCTGTACGGTGGAGAGTGTAGGGCTCTACACCCACCCCAGGACAGCCACAGGGTGCTTGGAGCAATGGAGGGTTCTGGGAGAAACAGGAGGGTCACGGCCCACCTGCTGTCTACCTCCAGCTCCCCTTGTAAGCCTTCATTGTACTGGGTGGCTTCAGCATCAGCCCAGAGCCTGGCCCTTGGTAGATGCCCCTGACACTGACTCAAGGCTCAGAGAAGGGGTGCACCTGCCTAAGGTCATCCAATAGGCCCAAGGTATATCAGGACTCCATCCCAGGTCCTCTGGGCCCTGGGCTGTGGGCCTGGGCCTGACCCACTGATGGGCCCTGTGCCTACTGCAGGTGATGGTCAAGTGGACTTTGAGGAGTTTGTGACCCTCCTGGGACCCAAACTCTCCACTTCAGGGATCCCAGAGAAGTTCCATGGCACCGACTTTGACACTGTCTTCTGGAAGGTATGCCCTGGCTAGTTGGGACCCAGGGCTGTGCACACTACAGAGTGCTGTTCTGGAGCCAGTGAATGGCTGGGCCTACACTGTAAAAGGGGGATGACCACTCCAGGCTTGTGTCCACTGGACATTTCACCTCCCAGAGGGCCATGGACTCCCTAGGGAGGCCGGGTTGGTCAAGGACTCTCTGGGGATATGGAGCAAGTGTTTTCCAGCCCCCTACCCCCAAATCTGGAGGCTGGTCATTGGGCCCCTGTGGCCTCAGGGTGCTGGGTGGGGACTGTGGTGGCTGTCAGAGCACTGTGCTTTCCCCCTCTGCAAGTGTGACATGCAGAAGCTGACGGTGGACGAGCTGAAGCGGCTGCTGTATGACACCTTCTGCGAGCACCTGTCCATGAAGGACATCGAGAACATCATCATGACGGAGGAGGAGAGCCACCTGGGCCCAGCTGAGGAGTGCCCCGTGGATGTGGAGAGTGAGTGGCCCTGGAACCCCATGGGTGGGCTCAACAGCTTGACCAGGGGGATGCGTGGGGGGTCTGCAGGCAGAGGGGGGCTGGGGGCCTCCTTGCCGGTTCTGAGCCTCTGTCTCAGCGGGGCACCCCTGGGATGAGCCCACGTGCCGAAGGGCAGGTGGCTCCTGACTCCATCGCCTTGATGTCCCCTTCTGTTTCCCTGGTGCCCCCCTGGTGGTCACAGCCTGCTCCAACCAGCAGATCCGCCAAACGTGCGTGCGCAAGAGTCTCATCTGCGCCTTTGCCATCGCCTTCATCATCAGCGTCATGCTCATTGCGGCCAACCAGGTGCTGCGCAGTGGCATGAAGTAGGCGCCACCTGGACACCCCATCCACCGCATGCCGCGCCCGCGGCCCACCCCACACCACCGCCGCCTGCAGCCCCTCCCTTGGCCAGCTCCCTGGGCTGCCACCTGTGTGTACTTCAGGGCCTGGATATCTGGCGAGCCTTCCCCACCCACCCCATGGGCCTCACCTGGAGCCGTGGCCTGGCTGTGGAGGGCCTGGTGGTGGCTCTGTGGATGGCCCTGGCCCCACCCTGTCCCTACTCTGGTCTGTATAGAGTACTCACTCTTCCTACCGTCCAGGGGCTCCTGGGAAATTGAGGAGGAATTTGCACAGGAACCCCCAGGACCCAGTTGCTGCTGTGGTCCCTTGGGCAGGAGGGGGCACCCTGTGCCTGGAGACAGCAGCCTATCTGGGGCCACACAGCCAACCTGGCCGTGGTCCCTGAGGTCTGCCTGGGCACTAGGAAGGGTGGGAAGCCAGGGTGTCCTGGGCCCTGCTGCCTGGCATGGCCTGAGGAGGCCCCTGGTCTTCTCCTGGGTCCTTTCCTCTGACCCGTGTTAGACCCCAGCCCAGCCCCTCTTCATGTACCTGCTGGGCAAGCCCATTTCACAGGTGAGGAACCTGAGGCTTGGCCTCAGTTCCTCCTTCCACAGAGATTTTCAGGAAAGGCAGAAGCTCATGGAAGACGGGTATCTAGGGTGGCCCTGCAGCCCCCCACTTTCTGGCCCTCCCACCAGAGGCCCAGCAACCACGGCCACTCATCCACCACCCCAGCCTAGAGCCTAAAACTGTAGTCTAGCTGAGGAAGGAGGCAAAGCAGGGGCCTGAAGGCTTTGAGCAGCCTCCACCAGGGGGCTCGTCCAAGGCTGAACCTTGGGAGGGCTCTGTACTACCTCCTGGGCCAAGAAACTGGCACAGCCCTGCACTGTCAGTGCCAAGAGGCTGCGCCAGGCCACTCTCCCAGCCCATGGCCTGCCCTCCTGCATCGTCCCGCTTCTCTATGCCCTCAAGGAGGGAGACCCCGCTCCCATGCCCGAGCTGTATCATCCCAAACACTTGGGCACCAGCTCAGCATGGCAGACACAGGGGCTGTGGATTCTTCCAGGGCTGGGATGGCAGGCAGAATCCCTTGGCTCCTCAGGCCTAGAGCCACTTCTTACCAGGCAACGGGCACAGCCACCCTGGCACACCCTCTCCCTGGCTGTGCTGAGCCTCTGCTGGTCCCAAGGGAGAAGGGAGAGAGTGTGGGTCACCTGAGGAGAATCTCATCTCATCCCCACCCTGCCTGACCTCTGCCAGGGGCTGGAGAACAGAGCTCAGAGCACCCGGCGTTGGGAAGCACAGCCAGACCATCGTGGTGACAGATTTTCTTTATAAACATCTAGAAGTTTTCTCCCTCAGCGTCTTAAGAAGGAAGGAGGGGGGCGGGTAGAAGAGAGTGAGTCGGGGGCTCCGTGGCATAGACCCAGGACCAGGGCTAGATTTGGCATGGGCACATCCTGAGCCTGTGAGGCCAGGCCGATGATCTCAGAGCCTCCATGGGGTATAGCAGGAACAGGGCTTGGCTTCCTATTGTGAATGATGAGAAGTAACCACGTGGGGGTCAGTTGAAGGCAAGGGGCTCAGCCCCATTGGACTCTGGGCTGCAGGGGCCACCCTCCCGGTGGGGGTGCCCGCAGGGATGGGGGCAGCTCCTGGACTGGTGGCCAGCCCACAGGGTACTGAAAGACAGTAGTTCTGATGGGTTCAGCCCTAGAGAGAGAGAGAGAGAAGGGTGGAGAATTAGAGTCAGGTATTGCCCAGACTTATGCCACCTGCCACCCCCAGCCCACCTGCCTCACCGCCCGGGCTGTGGGGAGGGTCAGCTGCCTGCACGACTCTTCTGGAAGGCAGAGCCTCGAAAACATGCAGACCCTTTGAGCCAGCGACCTCACTTCTAGGAACTGAGATCAAGGAAATAGTGGGGTTGTGGGCAGACACAGCTACAGGGACAGCCGCAAGACAATGGAAATAAGCTTCGTGTCCACCTGTAGGGGACTGATTAAATACATATGCACGTCCACAGCAGAGAATGCTATGCAGCCTGTGTAAGAATGAAGGCAGACTTATATGCACTGATGAGGAGAGACATACTGTGTGAGTAGGGAGAGAAAGCAGCTTATAAAATAATGTATATAGCATGATACTATTTTTGTTTAAAAATATATAAAATATATAAATGCATAAAAAAATCCTGGAAGACACAGCAAAATGTTAACAATGGTTCTGAGTGGTGCCATGATGAGTGACTTTTTTACTTCTTTATACTTCTCAAAAGTTTTACAAGCACACAAGCCTTTGAAATCAGAAAAAAATCGTGTCTAAATTTTTTTTTAAAAGCCTTATTTCTCATGCTACTCACTCTCCTCCTCCTCAATGTCCACCCTGAGCCACCTCCCCTGGAACTCAGGGTCCATTTAAGTCCTTGCCCTAGGAGAGGCATCCTCTGTGCCCAGCCCAGGGCACCCTGCCAAGGCCCAGCAGTGGCCCCTCCATTCTTCTACCCGGATCCTTCTGGACTTGGGGCCCACACAGGTTGCTTCTCTAGGGCCACAGGGACCAGCTCAGGCTTCAAAGCACTTTGAACTCCCATCACCCCAGCTACCTACACACGACCTTTCTGGAAGGCAGAGCCTCAAAAACATGCAGACCCTCTGAGCCAGCAACCTCACCACTGGGAACTGAGCCAGAGAAACCTTAAGAATCCTCAGGTGGTTCAACCTGAGGGGGGAAAAAAATCCTCAGGTGGGCTTGGCGCAGTGGCTCACACCTATAATCCCAGCACTTTGAGAGGCCGAGACGGGCAGATCACCTGAGGTCGGGAGTTCGAGACCAGCCTGACCAACATGGTGAAACCACATCTCTACTAAAAATACAAAATTAGCCGGGCATGGTGGCACATGCCTGTCAGTAATTCCAGCTACTTGGGAGACTGAAGCAGGAGAGTTGCTTGAACCCGGGAGGTGAGGTTGCACCATTGCACTCCAGCCTGGGTAACAAGAGCGAAACTCCATCTCCAAAACCAAAAAATCCTCAGGTGAACCCCATTTTATAGGTGAGGAAACTGAAGTGCAAGGAGTCAGTCACGTGACCAAGTGACACCCTTGGGATGAGGCCTGAGGGCCTGGAATGCAAGCTGCACATCGGCTGCAGACACTGCCCTCCCACTTCAGCTCCCTCTGCTCCGGCACACCCCCATACCCCAACACCCAGCCTTCAGGCGAGGTGAGGCCCTGGCAGCTCCTGGCAGGCTCAGGGGCCTAGTGGCCAGCCCTCTGCAGAGAGAGAAGGGATTGCCTGCTGAGAGGGGTCTGGAGAGGCCTCTGACCTCCGAGGGGGTAGGCGGACAGCCGGGATCAGGAGCCCTGGGAGCTTCCCCTGCTGCACCCACCCAGCCTGCCCCTCTCTGCCAGACCTGCCATGTAGAGTCACTGCCACTACCACAGCTGCACAGAGCCCTGGGTGCAGCCTCCAGGACCCCCAGGTGTGAGAGGACAGGGACATCCCCTGCTTCGTGGCTCGCTGCCTGCTAGAAAGCGCAGAAGGCAGCTCTTGACATGATTTATGGCACTGGGGAGATTTCATAAACTCCACCAGCCGCAGAGAAGGCGGGGAGGCTCCGCAGTTGCTGGAAGGGAGTGCCCCAGCTGCCAGCCAAGCCTGGGCTCCCAGCAGGGCCACAGGGACAGTGGGGATCCCCCCTGGGAGGGTGTGATCCTGGGGAGCCCCTTCCCGTGAGTCTCAGGCCCTTCTTCTAGAAAATGGGGCAGAGTCCCAGGAAGCTGGGACCTCCTAGGTCCAAGCCTCAGCCCCATGTCCCTGCCTGCCCTGAGGCCCCTGCCAGTAGATGGGCATACCCCATGCCTGATCACACACATTGGCACATTGCCAGGGCACCAGACACGTGAGCCGAAGCCTTGGAGACACTGAGGTGCGTGTCTGGCACCACTCTGCTTGTAGCTTCTCTGGTGACCTGTTTGTCCTATGTGTGAGGACGAGAGCTACTCTGACATTTCCCCAGCTGCAGTCCTAATCAGAGGAAATAGAGATGAGGAGGGAAGATGGGCCAGGATGGCAGCGCCGCCCCTGAGAGGGGTGCAAAGGAGAGATTAAGAGGGAGAGAGCCGTAATCTGAAGAGCCAACAATGGGCAGCAGGGCCAGGCCTGGCCTCGCTGGGGGATTCATCTGTGTGTCTGAGGCCACCGCTGCTCTTGGCAGATCCTCAGGGTCAGTCTGCAGAGGGGGATAAGCACAAGCTCCAGGCTGGGGCTTCATGGAACCTCCGCTTCCCCACATTTACAAGAAGGGTCCCTATGTTCACCAGGGAGGCTCTGCTCAGCCAGCGGGGTTTGGAGCCTGCAGCGTTGCCCCAGGTGTGGTGGGCAGCCCGCTGTGCCCTGGGGGAGGAAACAGATATCCTAAGAGGAAGAGGGGGTCCCCCAGGCTTCTAGACCAGTCCGCACGAGAGGCTGGCAACACTAACACCTGGGGAGCACCCGACAGCCTGAATGCTCATTCATGCAGTCAACCTGTCCTGGGCCCCCCAAGTCTGCCCAGGCCATGTGGGAGAAGCGGGGGCTGGGAGGGATGATGTCTCAGCTAGAGCTCCCAGGACAAGTCTGACTCTGCCAGACGGAGAGGTGGGAGGCAGTTTCAGGTAAAAAAACAGCACGCACCAGGTGCCCTGACACCACAAATGATGCCGCATCTAAGAAGCGGCCGAGCATCTAGTGGGACCAACAGTCAGGCCAGAGGCAAGAGGTGAGAAGGCGACCCCACCGACTGACCCCAATGGCTGCTGTGGAGGCAGCAGGGAGGGTGACCGACCCCCTGCCCTGCAAATGGGGCTGTGGAGCCAGGGGTGGAGGAGGCACCAGGGCCAGGGCTGCTGTGTGGAGGATCCCCTGAAGGAGCAGAGGGAAGGTAGGAGAGCAGGGAGGAGACATGGATGGCCCTACCTCCTGGTGAGGTTACGATTCCTCAGCTGCAGAATGGAATCGCCAGTCTCCCTGAATGCCCCCAAGCACTGGGCACAGTGTAAGCACCAAACAAACTCAATTCTCATATGATCGCCACTTCAACCTGTGACTCGGAGCCAGTCATTCAGCCTCAGTTTCCACATCTTGTCCCCTAGTCCCCCAAGTCTCAAACTCATAGCACCTTGTGTCAGCGTGGGGATGCATCTGTCTGGAACCCAGCCAAGGACTCTGGGGCAACTCGTCTCTACCCCACTGACTGGCACTCACTCCAGTTCAGCTGCAGGGACTCCATGAGACCTTGTCACAGCCCCAAGAGACAGTGGGGCCTCTGTGACTTGCTCCCAGCAGAGTATACCATGGAATCAGGGCAGGGAGGTGAGTGGCTGGTGTTAGCCCATTGGCAGGCGGCAGAGTAAGGATGGGACCCACAGGGAGCCCTGTTCAAGTAGCGGCGCAGGGGCCAGACCTTTCTGGGAAGCCTCCAGCCAGCCCAAGCCTCTTGCACACAGGCTGAGGGAGTCTAGGGAATAGGACATGGATCCCTGGACAGCAGCCAGTCCCAAGGGAAGTACCCACATGCCCAAAGACAGAATAGGACCCCTGCAGACTGGACCCTTCAGACAGGACCAGGAGGAGAGGATGTCACGCTCCAACGTTTGAGTCATGGCTGTCCCGTATATACTTTTAAGGTGGGGAGACAAAAACTGGGCTCGGATTTAAAATAAAGGTAAACGACAAAGTGAAGTTTAAAACACCTCTACTAGCTGGGTGTGGTGGCTCACGCCTATAATCCCTGCACCTTGGGAGGCTGACGCAGGTGGATTACTTGAGATCAGAAATTGGAGACCAGCCTGGCCAACACAGCGAAACCTTGTGTCTACTAAGAATACAAAAGCTAGCTGGGCATGGTGGTATGTGCCTGTAATCCCAGCTACTTGGAAGGCTGAGGCATGAGAATTGCTTGAACCCAGGAGACAGAGGTTGCAGTGAGCCAAGATGGCACCACTGCACTCCAGCCTGGGTGACAGAGCAAGACTCTGTCCCCAAAAATAAAACAAAACAAAAAAACCCCCAAACACCCTCACAGTCCCTTTTCACGGGACACAGAGAAGGCAAGAAGCTTGGCCTTCACCTCCTGGCAGAGCCCGGAGGGAAGGCCTCACCCTGCAGACTGTCTGGCCAGGTCCCCTCAGTCCCCGCCAGGCCACTGTCCTGCGAAGCCAAACTACAGAAGTAGTCAGCTCTGACACTCCGTTGCAAGATGGGGAAAGCAAGGCGGCCCAGGCTGGGGAAATGTGTTAAAGTCGCACGCTGCCCCGGGGCACAACTTTACCCCCTTCCCCCACCCACCCTTTAATTGCTAGAGGAAGAGCCCAGGAGCCCACGCTTTGGTTTTGGCCATGATGCCAAGCAGCCTTGTCTATCCTGTGCCCCATTCTGCTAACATGAATTATCACTTGAGTCCCTTCCCTCAAAGAGAAGGACCAGGGACAGCATGAAGCACATACCCCAAGAACCCGACCCAGAGCGCCCCTTTTACTTCTGAGCATTCCAAGGGCTGGGGCCACCCCGACGCCCCCTTCCTTAAAAAGGTAGTGGGACCAGGACCTTGTCATCATACCCTATGCAATCCCGACTCTACGGTTTCTAGCTGTGTGCCCTTGGGCAAATCACACCCCTCCCTCATGAGCCTGTTTTCCTTGCTGGTGACCATAGCCCAGTGGACTTGGTGACGTGCAGCCAAATTAGCTGGGCTGCCTGCCTCCCCTCCAGCCAGCACAGACTCTCAGAGGGACCAGTCCTTGGGAGAGGCTTCTTCAAATACCCCTCAGCCTCTGGCCAGGGCCTGGAGCCCCAAGAGCCCCTAGCATGGCCCCTCAGGGGCTCTGTGGGGGCATCTTTATTCAGCTGCTGGGCCGGGGCAGTTCATGGAGATTCCTGAGTGGTCAGGAAGGGGCAGGTGGGCTGGAGTCTTGCCCCTGAGGGCACAGAGGGAGGGGACCCTGGGGACAGGTACCTGCTGCTCAGGGCTGAGCTCAGCCGTTTGGCTCTCTTCTCCAGCCAGTCCTCCAAATGGCCCTCGGGGAACTCAGGAGCATCTAGCAGCCACTCCCTGGCTCGCCTCTCCTCTGTGGGGACAGGGAGACAAAGGCAAGTGAGGGGTCCACTCCTGCCTGCCAGAACCCCACCCTCCCACAAAGCAGAAGGAACTGGTAGGCCCTGAGCAAGCCCTGGGAAGTTGCAGCAATCCTCCAGGAAGAC